GTGGATTTGAAAATCTCGTAGAAATATCATTAGCAATGAGCAGAAGATTGCCCTAGTGAATCAGTGAGTGAAGTGGTGTGGCGGGAAGGGGCATTTAACTCACACGTGTTCAAATGCATGGAGCTGCGGACTGCCTAATTGACTGTCACTCCAGTGACAATACTATGTTACATATTGGCAATGCGTCGTGAAATTCAGTTCTGAAGGGGCTGAGCGTCACTCCATTGTAAGAACTCAAGTCTTGGATTATTGAAAAGAAGTACTATTTCATATTCTCATATTTCCGGTAATTCTCTCATCCTTTATTGCATGGTCTCGGGAAAGTGATTCCCACGTTACCACTTCAAAGAGATTGAAGCGGATGAGGCATCAAATCATGGAATAGTATGCTGGGACAAATTAACATGCCATTATGAAGACCATAGATGTCGATACAGTCCGTCAACCAAGCAATAATTATGACTGATAAAACTCTTCATAATTTTTAAGGCAACTCTATTTAAAAGCACATTTTGGATAATAAACCTGGGGTTGAAGAGTTGCTTGTGAGGGATGTGCATTTGCTCATGGAGAGAACACAACTGCACACCATGCACACCACAAAGACTGCCCAAAAACGGAAGAACGGAGTTGTGAGTGCATCATACCTCCTTCTTCCTAAGCAAAGATGACAGTATTTGATAATTTTATGCTCTCCCAGTGGCTATGTTGATTTGGAATAATCTATCCAGCGTTATATCTCTACTCTTCTGTTCGAAGATAAATAAATGGCAGCCATAGCCTTTAATTTATACGTCCTGGAAAATGATCGGAACAATATTTTTCACAGGCATGATTATCCTGTCACAAATAAGGAGCTCTGTCATTGCCGAAACCATCGTCTTGTTAGACGGTCGTTTTCCGTGATTCGCAACAAATTTTTACCACTACCACCTTGCTTCAGGAAAATTCAGATTTGATCATAGTTTGTACACATATGTTATCCCATACTTGTGCTCATAGTTGGGGAATCCAGCAAAAATTTATCGATGGTGTTCATGAGGTAATCTAGTAACTGTAAAATCATTATACGGGCTTAACAGAATGACTGCCATTTCTTACAACGCGTTCTATACCTTTGCCAAGGTTAAGTAGAACAAAACAATAGCTTATATTCCATTCAATCGATTTGTATGTTCAATATTCCTTTCGGTTTTGAAGCGGCATTTGGATAAGGTGTGCCAAATAAGGCTGTTTTCAACGAGTAGATCCTAACATGCCACACCACCAAATGATCAATACATCTGGCCTACTGTCTTGAGGCCTTGCGAACGGAATTCCTCAAAACAACATTGTCTCCTGTGAATGTCCATTTTAGCGGCATGATTCCTTCTATTTCGTTATCTAGAACGACCCTGAACATTTTGCTCAGCTGGTAGCATTATATTAGGGTGATGCGGTGGCACCTGGGCGAAGGGTATCTTTCCTAAATGAAAGTGGAAATAAGTGAATGGCGGTAGAAAATATTGACAATACTCGGCAAGAAACGAGAACATTCGGAATTTACTGTACTCGGTGCAAGGTACTGGAGTTAATATGAAGTGTTCACTAACGTGATTCTTTCGTACCTTCCATAGGTATCTTTCTTAGCATGCATTTTCCTTATATCAAACGAGTGAGATTTTCTTAGGAACCTTTCGAGTGAGAAATCAACAGTACTGTGTAAACGGTTAATCGGCAGCCACGCCAGCGAAGTGACACTTAATGCATTTATGGCTGGTTCGTTGGAGAATTGTAGTATTACTCTTTGGAGGCTTCAGATCTCCGTTCGCTGCTTTACTAATTGCCTCATTACCTGCAGTCTCAGTCGTCGTTCACCAACTGACGCTCACCTGCCGTTTCAGATCGCACTTCCGCAATCTGATACGCTTATGGACGTAAGGGCATTGATGAGGGCAATGAATCGCACATGATGAAGAAATCATTAGGGCTAATGGCTAGTGCCTATTTGTTCGGCTAGTTATTATGCTGAAGCC